ATCTATCTCTCCCCTCTTTTTTTTGGATTCGGATATCAAAGGATCGTTGGTGATGCCAAGAGGAGAGAAAAAAAGCGCTCACTGCCAAAAAAGATCAGGTGGAAGCGATAGGAAAGCAGCCGAAGGAAGAGGGAGAAAAGAGAGAACGAAAGGAAAAAAGGGAAGGAGTGTACAAACAAGGTGTTCAAAAAAAGAAAAAAAAGGAAAGAAAAGGAAGGACGAATACGAGAGAGAGAGAGGGGGGAAGAGAGAGAGAGAGAGCGGGAGAGAGAGGGGAAGCGAGGGAGAGAGATGATGAAAAACAGAAGAAGGAGAAGATCGCAAAAGGACTAAGACGACGAGATGTGATAAAAAGGCGACGAAAAAAAAAAAGGGAAAGAAAGGGCCTCGCTCCACTACTCGCCAAAAAATGTTCAAAATGAGAATGAATCTTCCGCTATAACGTTGAAAGATACACGGCCATATATTTTTTTTCTGTTTTCTACATGTTCTTACTGTAAGAGTAGTGGAGCGAGGCCCAAAGAGTTACAGTCACGTCTTTCCCGCCCAACACACTGCACACCCTCATCAAGACTGTATCGGACGGGAAACATCGGTTGTATACATTCATTCATGACCCCGCAGGGTGCGCTGTCTTCAGGGGAAGACGTTTAACGTCTTGATGAGGGTGGAGTCTCCCCTCTCCCCGCGTCTCCACCTCCTCCTCGACCGTTAACGTCTTCCCCCGAAGACAATGCACCCTGGGGGGTCATGAATGAATGTATACAAACGATGTTTCCGGTCCGATACAGTCTTGATGAGGGTGTGTAGTGTTCGGGGGATCGAGGTAAATCAGAGGACGAGCGGGCGAAACGGGGAAATTGCTACCCTTCTTCCCCCGAATACAACGTACGGTCATTATAGCTGTATTTGGGCTGTCTTTCGGACTAACTACAGCTATAATGACCGTACGTTGTATTCGGGGAAATTCCTACCGGTACCGTCTTCCCCCGAACATAACGCACCCTAAAAATGAATGTATACAAGCTTTATTTCCGGCCAGATACAGCCAAAATAAGGGTGCGTTGTGTTCGGGGGAAGAAAATAGTAGTACACCCCTCATACCCCTCTGCTTTACCGCGATCCCCCGAACACAACACAGAGGGCGGGCGGGCAAAACGGGGAACTGTAAGACCTGTCCACATTCAACGACACAGGAACCCCTGACAAAAAAAGAAAAGTAAGGGAAAAATCAAATTGACAACACACACACACACACACACACACACACACACACACACACACACACATACACACACACGCCGAGGTTGAATGTATACAAGCCATGTTCCCGGTCTGATACAGTCTTGATAAGGGACGGACGGCCAAAAAATACTCTCTCCTTCTGAAGATCACCCAACAGCATTGCGGCACAGATCAGGCGCCGCCGAGGTCGGTTAAAGAAATACTACCATCTCCTTCTCCACTCTTTTTCACCTCCTCCTCCTCTTCCTCCACCACTTGCTCTCCTTCCCTCCTTCCACCTCCTCCTCCATCTCTCCTCCTCTTCCTTCTCCTCCATGTCTTCTTCCTCCTCCTCCTCCTCCTCCCTCTTCCTCCAGGTATTCTCTCCCCGCTCCTCCCTCCTCTTCCTCTCCTCTTCTTCCTCCTCCTCCCTCTCCCACTTCCTTCACCTCCTCCTCCATCTCTCTCCCCTCCTCCTTTTCATGTGATCTGCTTCTCCAAACCCATATCATTTACCAGAAGCAGCAGTCTATGGCGCTTGGTCCCACCCCCAGGCCGGAGCTGTCCCGACTCGCCGAACTTTTAGGAGATTGATGATCAATCGCGGTTTTTGTTTTTTGGTTTGTTTGTTGTTGTTTTTTTTTTGTGTGTGTGTGTGTCAATCGTGATTCTTAAGATGTGCTGGTGGTTAAATTAATTAGCGAAGGAATTACTAATTAGCCTTCTGGAGTTAACTACTGTAATTATACGTACAGTAAGAAATTGATTGCCTTGAAATAAATTCTGCATGGGGTTGGAATTGCGGTGAGATGCATCCAGGAAAATCCGAGTTCCAGCATATGCCCGGAGAACAGATTTCTGGACTCTTCCATTAATTACCGTAACATACATTCAGCACGGGGGCTGTAATTGCGGTCAGATGCATCCAGGCTGGAAGTCCTAAGAGTACAAGTAGATGCTCCGATAACGGATTGCTGAACTTCGTAGTTAACCGTAAGAAATTAATTAATTAATTAATTACTACAGTGTAGTAATTGCCGTAAGAAATCAATTATCGTAAGATAGATTCAGAATTGGAACTATGATAGCCGTCAGATGCACCCAGCGAAGAAGTCCCAGTAGATGTTCAGAGAAGGATGACGTCATCGAGAGGGGAGAAGAGGGCTGTAATTGCGGTCAGATACATGCATAATGGCGGCCCTGATTGCGGTCAGATGCATGCACCATGGGGCCTGTAATTGCGGTCAGATGCATGCACCACGGGGGCTATAATAGCGCCGGTGCATGCATCTGACGAAGGAGAAGAAACACAGAGCGAGCGGGTGGGCGGGAAATGTGGTCGACGACTGCCAGGGAAGAGGGAAACGCAGAAGGAGCGAGAGAGGAAGAGAGAGGGAAGAGGAGAAGATGATAGCGGCTCAAATCGGAGATGGAGGAGGAGGAGGAGGAGGAGGAGGAGGAGGAGGGTAGGCGGTAGAGAGGAATCAACTTACCCGTAGAGTGACTTGACACGTGGCGTGCACAAGGAGGAGAGAGGACGACCACACCACACAAACAAGGCGGTAATTGTGAGCGCCTCCTGCTGCTGCTGCTGCTGAGCATACTCGTTACTGCAGCAGCGAGGAGGAGGAGGAACTGGCATACCAGCAGGGTCCGCCGCGGTCCATCAGTCGGCAAACGTGGAAAGTAGCGAGTGAGCGTATCTGTCCAGTTTTAACGGACGGGGACACGCGCCATTTTTCACATTTGGCGGGAAAGTATCTTTCCTGCATTAACGGACGGGTACACGTGCCAGATTTCACATTTGGCGGGTAGTGTCGTGGAGGCTACCGGCGGGAAAAGGCAGAAGGAATTCGGTAAGCGGACAGGTCTTGGGCTCGAATCTACCCACGGACAGGTCTTGGGCTCGAACCACGGATGTATAGGTCTTGGGTTCGAAACCCCCAGATATACACGGATGCAGTTGGATCTTTGAAACAATGCACCACCTTTTTTTTTTAACTGATCCGAAAGTACAAGGATCTTGACATTGTAGTTCTCGACAGTTGCTTTGACGCAGAAGGCCGATGGGCCTGGATCAAGATAGCCATCGAAGAGAAAGATTGGGTCATTATGTCTATCTATGCCCCTGTTGACTATACGACTCGGATTGAATTTTTTGCCGATTTACCTAAAGTAATCCTAGACACGGAAAACCTTATCCTGGCCGGAGACTGGAATTCAGTCCTGGTCCCAGGACTAGACTCCCCACGCCCTGGGCCTTTAAGAATTGATAGTCAACTGTTCTCAGGATTTGTGAATTCACAAGGATTGTTCGACACGTACCGAACTCTGAACCCTGACTCCTCAGGCTATACTTGGCACGGACCTAGGCCGTCTCCCAGGGCCCCCCAGCCTAAGAAAAGACTAGATGTCATATTCGCACGGGGAACCCCCTGGGACCGGTGTATTGGCGCAGACTTGAAGTATGGGTCAATGTCTGATCATTATCCTGTACTAATGGACATCATTGCCAGAGATATTATTGATAAGTATAAACCTCCGTTCAGACTAAATATCAAACTATTGAAAGATCCAGGAATCCCCTCCTGGATATCCAAACAAGTGAAAGATTGGGACAAGGCAAGGGATCTGTTCCATGATTTGGCGGAGTGGGCGGATACAGGTATTGGGATCATAAAATCAGCCATGGAAGAATTCTCTAGGATGAAAGCAGCATCGAGATCATGGAAAGAAAATTCGCTCATAGCAATAATTAAAGAAGCAGAAGAATCAATGGGCAAAGATCCTTTTCTTGAATATTATTGGTCAACTAGGAGAACAGCAGCAATTGCAGAGCTTGAACACCTAGATATACAGCGCCAGTCTGATTGGTTAGAATGGCTAAAAATCAGAGGTATTATAGGGTATGATCAAATGACAAAACTTACCTTCAGATCCTTGATCCTCCGTCAAGCTAAACCCTTGATGAGAAAATTGAACCATCCTTTCTCCCTCACTGCTCCGCTGGTCAACGGGACCTCACAAATTTGTTCCTATGCCATGGAATATTTCAAGGACATAGTGACAACTATACGGCCATTTGACTCCTTTGATACAGATCTCTCCACATATTCTGATTTTTGGATCAGAACAGTAAATAAAATTTCACGCATACAGAGTGATATATTAGAAGCCCCTATCTCTGAGGGGGAGGCTTGGGTGGCAGCCAAACAGATGGGCTCAGGCAAATGCCCAGGGCCTGATGGACTTCCCATTGAACTGTTTCTCAGTGCATGGGAAGCCTTTGCCCCGTTTTTGTGCGAGATTTACAATGCAGTCCTGACGACGGGTACTCTTCCCAAAGGGATAGTTCGAGGAATGATTTCTTTACTATACAAAAAAGGGGACAAAAGGGAAGTGCGGAATTGGAGCCCCATTTCTATCCTAAACATGACCAATAAATTACTAGGGAGAATCCTAGCAATTAGACTTACTGAGATCCTCCCTGATCTGGTGGGGGCAGAACAGGGCGCATTTGTTAAAGGTAGATCAATCTTTGAAAATATCCGAACAACCATCAAAGCCTTGGAAATTATTGGTAAGGAAAGGAGAAATTTGGCCATCTTGATGTTGGATATGGAGAAAGCGTACGATAAGGTGGGATGGGCATTTGTGAACACTACCCTATTGAGACTTGGTTTTGGTCCAAAGTTTCGTACCTGGACGAAAGCACTGTATGCAAATGCAACGGCCTCTATAGTTGTAAATGGGAAACTATCAGATGAGTTTGTGCTAACCCGTTCGTTAAGGCAGGGTTGTCCCCTAGCCCCTTTGATCTTTGTGCTCCAACTTGAAATTTTAATTAATAACATCAGGTCCAACAATATGATAGAAGGTCTGATGGCCCCCCCTTCACTCCAATGGAAAGGAGGAGCTATTGCAGACGATCTTATCATGGTCTGCGTTAATTCTTCGACGTGTATGCATGAACTACGTAGAGTTATTGATATGTATTGTGAATTATCGGAAGCCTCGATAAATTGGGATAAATCTGTTTTTTTCCTCCCCCCCCAATTCGAATTGTGTGTCGATTGGGGTCTATGTCATATCCCCACACAATCCTCAGAACGGTTCCCGGGGGTTCAAGTGTCGCTATCAGACTGTTTTACTACACGAGATGACATTTTGGTGGGGAAAGCAAAAACAAGAATAGAGAAGTGGGAAAGGAGATATACACTTTCCCTTTTTGGTCGAGCATTGGTTCTGTCTGCAGCAGCCTTTTCGACTCTTTGGTTTCCAATGTCTATCTGTTTATTTGGAGAGGAAGCGTATAACAAGATAAAAAGAACAACTGCCAGATACCTTTGGAAGTCAGCTGCATCAGAGGAGCAAGGGTTCATGTCCAAAGTGGCTTGGGAGGCAATAGCCAGACCCCATAGCCAAGGAGGTCTGGGGGTGCTAGACCCGGTTCAACAAAACCTTGCCCTTTTGTCCAAGTGGCCGCCCCAAGCGATGGTAGGGGAAGATAGTAAAGTCTGGATGAAGTTGGCAGAATATTTGCTGGGCAGAGAATGGGGCCTGGAGGATCCGTTTAAGTTGTGGTTGTGTCTATTGTTGCCTTCGTTCACCCAACGTCGCCCTCAATTTAGAATCTGGCGGAATATAATCTTCGCATGGAATAAAATCAAGCCCATGGAATGACGACCGCCCAACACAAAAAAAAAATGCCTTAATCAACTGCTGTTTGAAAATCCTCACATTCTACAACAGAACGGGGTGTCGTTCTCAGCAAAAGGAGGAGACTCTAACTTTGGTATCTCATGGATCAAGAAGGGCATTATTCAGGTTAAAGACCTCTGGGATCCAATATCTTCAGACTGGTTTGATGAAGGAGCATTGAGAAGGAAACTCCCTAGGGTCCATAATCTCTCTGGGAACTATCAGCAGCTCGTGGAGGCTATTCCTCAAGCATGGGCGTACCTTCTGCAATCAGATACAGAGAACGTGCTCAACACTTGGTTAAGATCCCCTGACAACAGCAACGAGATCTGAAGGGTAATGGGCCATTCCTCAGATCAAGGCATCAAGGTGCAGACTTGGCTTCTCTCATCGATTGTTCAGACTACAGGGCCATTACGAGAGACAGGAGAACGTATTGTTCCGCATACTGTTGATCTGCAGGAGGTTCGGGTCTTCTACCAAGCGAATGGGAAGGGGAAGGCAACCGCGGTACTGGGTAGAGATGCAGACTCTTATCGTGTAGAACCATTGTTGTTCGGTGGGAAGGGGAAGGCAACCGCGGTACTGGGTAGAGATGCAGACTCTTATCATGTAGAACCATTGTTGTTCGGTGGGAAGGGACTTAAATCCAGAGAAAATTTCACACCCCTGCAATCGTACAAATAAAAAATAGGGGTGGAAATTCAGTATACTCAGTCTAAAGTTAAACTTGTGTCCTTGGCTCTGAAGAGAGATCAAGAACAGGGTTTAACTGGTGTGTCTGAGGAGACATTGAACAACTTATGGACTGCCTTAAAGAAAATGACATCTCAAAAACAAGCTGTAATTATATGGTTGCAATCCCTCTTCGTTACAGCTACTGCAGCTTGGCTGTCGACTAAAGGAATGGATCTCTCACCAACGTGCCAGCGCTGCAATTGGGGTCGGAAAGACTATGCCCACCTTTGGCTTTTCTGTCCTCTGCTTGATGACCTCCTGGAATGGTGGAAAAGACGCTGGTACTCTATTTATGGTTAAGAAATGCAGTGGTCGGATAACTGGTGGCTAACAGACATTTTACCACCAGGTTTTGGGTTTCACTCAGGTATAGGACACATAGCACTCTGCTGCCGAGGGACACTGCTGGAGGTTATTTGGTCAGCTCGAAACGCAAAAGTTTTCAAGGGCGAATCCCTCTCTCTTCAGCAACAGAAGACACTGATAAAGAAAAAAATAAGGTTAATCATTATGGCAGAATGGTCGCAACACCCTACATCTGGCTCCAAAAACCTGCTGTGGTTTCAACGATCTTGGGGTTTGGCTAGTAACTGGGCAACAGTTAGCCCACAAGGTTCAATAATTTTTGCTCCATGGCTGCTTAGCCAAAATGACTGAGTATGGGTGACTTTATTTGATGGAGATTACCATTTATTTTTTCTGTTGTCGTGTTGATTTAGACAGCTCCCCACACGCAGTTAAAGTATAGTCTACCTTTTTTTCATATAAAAGACAATATTATTGTCGATGAGCTGAGTTGCTTTCACAGACATTTCGGTGCTTTAAGATTAGCTTTTCAGCTCCCCTGCTTTTTACCTGTGCTTCAAAGTTTATTTTTTGGAAAGCTTTGTAGGTGGGGTCTCTGGACCTGCTTTTAGCTTTCAGACATCTTTGGTCCCTTTTTGATCTGGAGAAGTTCTGAGCAGTTGATATATTACTCGAGCGGTGCTCGTAAGCTAAACTGGCTGAGGCTGCCAGGATAACTCCGGGTTGAGTTGTGAGGTCCCCGACCTCTATTATTCATATTGATGCAATAAATCGTTCGTGCTTTCCAAAAAAAAAAAAAAAAAAAAAATTGGCGCGCAGGGGCATTCCAGGCTCGGCATCGATAGCTGGGCCAAGTACATTTTTGAGTTTATGGGCATCCGACTTGTTTCCGTGGACACAGGAGATGCCGGCACCGACGTAGGCCATTTCGGAGTTGGGGTAT